ATGGTACTCTGTTCTTTGTTTCTGTGATAGATCACTGAGTAGGATAGACTCTAAATCCATTCAGTTGCTGCGAAGTCCATATGTTTGTCCTTCTTCATGGCTGCACAATATTACATTGTGTATATGTACCACATTTTTTTTATCTAGTCCAGCTGGCATGAATATTTTTAGTTATTAAAAGTATTTTGTGCAATTCCCAGAAACAGAACAGCATTGCTGTTCTTCACATCTTGCAATTCTGTAAATGGACAAGCAAGAGCAAAAAGCAAGCTCCATAGTCAAATTCTAAACTATCTCATTCCCGGTTTATAAATAAATGGAAACGCCACAACACTAAAATAATCTCCCTGATTCTAGCATAAATCCAGGCAGGTGTTATTTTTCCCTTGTCAGCAGATAAAACTTGATAGTTTATACTCAATTGCACTCCCAATTTTCATTAAAGCTCTCTTATGCTTTGTCTTGAGGAAAGATTTTTAAACTTTCTTAAATTCTACTTCTAATTTGATACTAATTATAGTTATTTTATTAAACTTTTGTAGTTGGGCTAAACATTATACATTGTCTGTGTATCAGCCTTCTTCCTTGCTAATAAAGCCATTATTTTGTTTAGTTTGTTATAAGTTTAAAGGTAGGGTAGACTCCTCCCTGCCACAGAGGTGAATCTTGATCAGTCCATTACCCTTACTAATAGTTGGTTTTGGAATATATATAATTTATGAAAAATGAGACCAGGTGTGGTGGCTGCTTATAATCTCAGCACTTTGGGAGACTGAAGTGGGAGGATTGCTTGAACCCAGGAGTTTGAGAACAGCCTAGGCAACATAGCAAGATCTTTTCTCTACAAAAAAAAAAAAAAAAAAAATCAAAAAATTAGCCAGCTACTATGGGGAACTGAGGCAGGAGGATCACCTGAGTCCAAGAGGTCAAGGCTATGGTGAGTCATTATTGTGCCACTGCAACAGAAGGAGACTCTGATTCAAAAGAAAAAAAAGGAATCAACAAGATTCCTTCTGAGATGGTCTGCTAGTAGTTCTTGATAAGATCTTTATACTACTGAATTAAGCAACGCTGGAAGTGACTAGTCACTAAGCTTGTTGTGAAATAATTAGTGTTTCTGATGTCTAAACCATTCAGGATGGAGTTTTGGCAATGTGCTTCTGTAATATAGTCTAACTGACACATATTAAATATTTAATCTGCCAGCTTTCTATGAGTTTTAAAATTATTACCATTATTCCTACTTTAAGTATGAAAAATTTGAGTCAAAAAGTTAGATACCATTCTCAAATTTATGTAACTATAAGATAGAGTCAAGAAAGGATTCCAAATACCAGAATATTGACAATGATGTTACGTTGTCTCCAATTATATCAAAAGGTGTTCTGCTTACCATCACTGATCCCCAAATTGTATACCCAATATACACTGAAATGGGATGTATTCCATAAAATTGCTGTGTTACACACCTCATTGTTATTCCCAGGCTGAGGTTCATTAGGGCAATCATAACCTGTACAATCTAGAAATGATGAGAAAAGTAAAAACTGATTATCCACCACAAAAAATGGTGCTCACACCCCTCCTTTTCCAAATACTTATTCTCCCTATTTTGGCATAGTCATATAATTTTCTTGCTACTCAAGTCACTTTTTTTTTGACAAAAAGAGCCACAAATATGCTAACTTCCAATAGCATTTCTTAGGATATCTATCTTTACCCAACAATTTGAAAGTTAAAAGGAATATGCCAGAATCAGCCCAAGGAATGTTTTTCTGACACCCAAGATGCTACTTCTACTACATCTCTTACTCTTCCTTGTCACATGCTCAGACAGAAGTGATCAAGGAATTAGGAAGCAATTATTCTAGCAAGGAGAAGTAACCTGAAGAAAAGAGAATGTAGAGAAGAGAGGGAAAAAATGAAGAGCAAATATGGTATTTTCTTGGGATCTGGAGCCTGAAAACATGAATGTGAGTACAGGGGTCCAGAAATAAGAGAACTGGAGTACAATTATTCCATGGCATTAAAAATAATCCCCCAAATAAAAACAACTTATAAATATTTGTGGGATGCAATGAAAGCTAGTGCTTAGAGGACAATTTGTAGCACTGACTGTATATATTGGAAAAGAAGAAAGATCTAAAATCAATTACCTAAGCTTTTACCTTAGGAAACTAGAAAAGGAAGAGCAAATTAAATTCAAAGCATGTAGAAGAAAAAAAAATGATTAGAATAGAAATTAGTGAAACTGAAAAAAGAAAATCTATAAACAAAATGCAAAGCTATTTTAAAATCAATAAGCTTCTAGTTAGGGTAACTAAGAAAAAAGAGAGAAATGATACCAATTACCAATATTCTATATTAAAGAGGAGACATCACTACAGGTCTTATAGACATTACAAATATAATAAAATAATACTATGAACAAATCTATGCCCATAAATTTGATAACCTAGATAAAACTGATTAACCTTTAAAGACACTATCTGCCAAAATTCACACAGAAAGAAATAGACAATGTAAATTGACTTATGTAATTAAATAAAATGAATCAATAATTAATATTTTTTGAAAAAAGAAAGCACCAGGACCAGAAGGGCTTAGTGATGAATTCTACCAAACATTTAAGAAAGAAATTATCCTGATTATTTACAATTTCAATCAGAAAATAGAAACAGAGAGAATGCTCCCTAACTCATTCTATGAGGCTAGCCCTACCATATTCCAAAATCTAGACAAAAATATTATGAGAAAAAAAAACTATATACCAACATTTCTCATGAACAAATAAGCAAAAATCTTTAATGAAACACTGCAAATTGAATCCAACACTGTATTACAAGAAGTATATCCCATGACCATGTGGGATTTATTTCACGTATGCAAGGTTGGGATAGCATTTAAAAATCAATTTATCTAACCCATCATTCAATAGGCCAAAGGAAAAAAATCACAAGACTGTAACAATAGATGCAGAAAAAAAAACTGTACAAAATCCAATACCCACTCATTATAAAAACTCTTCATAAACTAGGAATAGAGAACTTTCTCAACTTGATAAAGACTATTTGCAAAAAACCAACAACTACCTTCATACTTAACAATGAGAACTCAAATCTTTCTCTCTAAGATCAAGAACAAGGCAGAGATGTGCCCTGTTACCACTCCTTTTCAACATTGTACTGGAAGTCCTAGCTAAAATAACAAGACAAGAAAGGGAAATAAAAGATATACAGATTGATAAGAAAAAAAATAAAACCACCTTTGTCTCAGATGACATAATAATCTATATAGAAAATCTGAAAGAATAAATGAAAGAAAGAAAGAAAGAAAGAAAAAAAGAAATTAACTAACTCCTGGAACTAATAAACAAATTTAATATGGTTTATTATAATAGGGTTGTAGGATACAAGGTTAATACACAGGAATCAATTGCTTTCCTATATACTTGAAAGGATAAGTAAAATTGGAAATTAAAAACATAATACCATTTAAATTAGCACCTCTAAAGATGAAATGCTTAGGTAGCCATATGAGTCCATCAACTATCAGGAAGGCCTGGGGAAGATCAACCAGTGCACAGGTAGCCTTTTCTCTTACTGCTGTTCCATGCTGAGGTTAAGTATTATTATTATGGATGACCCATAACCCTAAAGTAGACCTGAAGTCAATATATATTGTTTAAATGACAAGACCTGACAATTACATACTGATGTCTACAGGGCTGATTGGTGAATTATGAGGCTAGTGGGACAGTGTATTTGGCAGGAAGTCTGATCACTTATGGGTTTACAATATCACTGGTCTTCTCCCAGATCCACAGCTGACTTACCCCAAGGACTTTGGGTTCCCCCTTCAAGAACTTCTCTCGTATCCCTTTCCACATATATGAGTGTAGGACAGCAGGCTGCCCCAGCTGGGGCACACCAGGGTCAGCCTCTGATGGGGTCTGTTCCATTCCTTACACGATTGTTGTGGCAGCGAAAAGAGTGCTACAATAACAAATGCAATTTAGCATGAAGCACTGAAAATGACAAAACAAGGCATGACATTTTGAGGTATGTTCCACTCTGAGGCTAAAAATCTGTCCTGCTTTCACTTCCTATATTTTCTTTTTTTTTTTTAGTTGGAGTCTCATTCTGTCACCTGGGCTGGAGTGCAGTGGCATGGCATGCTCACAGCTACCACAGCCTCGACCTGCTATGCTCAGGTGATCCTCCTGCCTCAGCCTTCCGAGTAGCTGGAACTGCAGGTGCATGCCACCACGCCTGGCTGATTTTTTGATTTATTGTAGAGACGAGGTCTCACCAAGTTGCCCAGGCTGGTCTCGAATCCGTGGGCTCAGGCAATGCTCTCACCTCAGCCTCCCAAAGGCTGAGATTATAGGTGTGAGTCACTGTGCCTGGCTGTACTTCCTATATTCCAATAACTGTCAGAGCCAAGGAAGGGGAAGAAGCAACACGTTAGGAGGAAAGAAAGACAGGTGGGAGGGAGGAGGGAAAGAAGATGGGAGGAAAGAAAGAGAGAGGAAATCTAAATGCCGTGTAATGTCAAGATGCTAGAAACAATTTTTTATTTTTAAAAACATATTTTGTTGAACTCAGTGCATCCTAAATATTATCGTTTCAATATGTAATCATTTTTTTAGAAATGTAAATGTGCGTTTAGCATTCTTTTTCCTACTCCGTCTTCGTGATCTTGTGTGCCAGCACATCTTGGATTGGACAACCATGCTTCCAGAGCTCAATAGCAACATGTGGCTAGTGACTACAGGGCTGGCAGGATGGGATGGGATTGCTGACGGCTGGCGGCCACTGCACTTTCGAGGAACCGACTCATAGAGGGATTGAGCTTTCCGAGGGCAAAGTCTCTGTGTTAGTCACAGCACTTCCCCAGAAGCTGTCACAAGGTCGGATTGAACACAGTGGTGGTAGGAGCCGATGAACTGACTGAAAGTGACCCTGAAGTATTTGGAAGGGTGCTGTGTTTGGCCAGGTGAGTCTTGTTATACATATGGCTACAGCATAAACGTTAACACACATTTTGCCATTCTCGTACATGTGAATGATCAGATAATGTAAAATCATTTTTTAAATAATTTAAATTCTCTATTTCAAAGATGTACATTAAAAATATTAGCATTATTACGAACAATCCTAAAATAAAACCCATCATGAGCACCAAAAAAAAAAAAAAAAAAAAAAAAAGAAGCTAACACAGGCTGGGTGTGATGGTGCATGACAATAGTCCCAGCTACCCCAGATACCGAGGTGGGAGGATCACTTGAGCCCAGGAATTCAAGGCCAACCTAGAAAACATTGAGACTTTGTCTCAAAAAAAAGTTAAGACCCCCCATTCTGTAATTGCAGGCTGGCAAGTCAGGTGTCAATTGGGCACACCAGTCTCTAGAATGAAGACACATGCCCTGGGTACATCTGACTTCCGTGCTGATCAAGTTACTCTCTGTCATTTTGATGTCTGAAACCAATGTTAATCAGATTGTGAGATCATTAAGATTCCTTCTCTCTCTTACTCTTTTCCTCTTGTTTTTGTTTCTGTTTTGTTTTGTTTCCTTTGGTGATCATTACTTTCACCCAGACAATTCACAGGAGCTCATGCTTCAATGGAAAAGTGAATACTTTTAGATTTGTGTTTAATGTTGTTCAATGACAGAGATGCTCTACTGAGGCCAACTTCCGTTACTTCCCTCAAACTTTGCATTTTATCCTAACATAGCTATGCTATTATACAACCTGCAACTATGAAAACTAGAACGTACTGGAGAGAGGGAAATGTGGACAGAAGTGAGGTACATATGCTGTACCTCTCAAATTATGGAAATTTCTTCAAGTTCAAATCCTAAGTCTGCTCAGATTTGATTCCCATACCTATTCCCTCAATTACAGCCATTTCTACTGGAGAATTATTATAATAATAATCACAAACTACACCAAGTCATCTGCATTCCAATTTATTGATAATATTTTATAGTCTCCCTTTTCTCATCAGGACATAGTTAAATTCTCAGAGCTAGAAATCTTCCCAGGTTCATTGTTACTGAGTGTGATTTATGTAACCTTGCATTTTGTTCTATAAACTCTGAACTTTGGGAATGACACTTATGGCTCTGAGTTATATCCTTGGCACCACAATTTTTTTTTTATTAATCAATATTTTTTATTATGGTTTTGTGGGGCACAGTTAAGGGTTAGGTATACAAATACGTTTCATTCAGGCACCCTGTTGATAAGAGGTGTTTCCCCGTCCCCATACAGATATTTGCTACCGTTAATCCCATCTCCCTCCCTTGGCGCCACAAATTTAAAGCTCTTGCCTTATTATGGTGCTTTAAATCCTGACTTGACAGTGCACAGCAAGGACACATAAAATTATTTTCTAAGACTCCAAGCACCATATACTCCAACCAGATTATGTGGAGACAGGTTTAAGTCACGTGGAAATTTTTATCTATTCACTTGAATTCATATTCGGAAGTTTCATAGCCCACTTCCTTACATTTTGAGGGAAATGAAACTTAGTAACATTCTTCAAGCCACAGTTGATTTTGATGCCATTTATGCTTCACGGAGGCCCACAAAAGTCTCAAGTATGGAGATTTGTACCCTCTTACTGGCAGCATAGATGGAAAAATATTATTAGAGTCCACATTTTCTATAAATTCAGATTTCTCTGTAGAGGATTATCAACCTATCTTTGACAGACCAAGTGAAATACTTTACCAGCTACCTAGCAATAAAACTGATGAAAATCGGAAGAAGAGGGGTTAAGTTCAGAGAAAGATAGAAAAAATTCTAGATAAAAATAAGATCAATCATTCAAAACATTAATTTGATTTTAGTAATATATACATTCAAAGTTATGAAAAGCAATAAAATTAAAGGTATACAATTACAAATAAAAATAAGTTTTTAATAAGAAACAAAAATAATTAATAAGAAAGACATAATGCAAATGAGATTGAAATGGTTAAGATCAGGAATTAAATATGAGAATGCAACCCAAATGTCATTGTTTTTTATGCTTATCTGTTCTATAAATTTTTCAGAAAAGATTTGGAGAAAGAAATTAGAACTCCATTTTGTTATGAAACTATAAAGCTCCATTTTGTTGTAGAGATTACAAAATCTCTGTAACTAAGGTAAAATGAATATTAACAAAGATTACATGAGGATAAATTTGGGAAGAAATGGGAAAAGAATATCAAAGACACAGGAAACCATGGCTACAGATTTCAGATCAAAGATAAGTGGTTCCCCAAAGTGTCCAACAAATTATTTTTTATAACCCTGGAAATTATCGTATCAATCAATAACTATAGCTTCTCTGGACAAGTATCCTTCTGAGAACCGTAGAAGTTAGGAGTGAAGGAGAAATCACAACAAAAAGTCACATGTGTAGAAAAAAAATCCGTTTCTGTATGTCTTATATTGGAGTCCACAAAGAAGAAAGCAGTTATCATTGATACAAGCCTCCAAAAAGTCCCACAGATAGAGTAATCGGGATATATCTTTATAATTAAAGTTCATCAAATGCCCCAAAGCCAAGATATCATGACATTGAGTTATGAAAAATGCCAAGTGCTTCAGAGAGTGGAATAATCAAATACAGAATATGTTTTAAAAATTGGATAATTTATTCTGATAAAATTGAATCACATAAACAAGAAGTCAAAGTACAAAAAGTGACATAACAGAGCTAGGTACAGAGGCTTATGCCATAATCCCAGAACTTTGGAAAGTCTAGGAAGGAGGATTGCATGAGCCCAGGAGCTCAAGACCAGCCTAAGCAGCATAGAAAGACCTCATCTCTATAAAAAATTTAAAAATTTAGCTGAATGTGGTGGTGTGCACCTGTAGTCCTGGCTACTTGGGAGGCTTAGGCAGAAGGATTGTCTGAGCCCAGGAGATCAAGGCTGTGGCAACAGAGTGAGACCCTGACCAAAAAAAAAAAAAAAAAAAAAAAAAAAAGACATGACAGGCAACATAGCCTCAAACAAATGTAGAAGATTTTTAAAAATAATGTTGACCAAAAAAATTTGGTGAATATGTTAAACAAAGAATAACTGAGAATAGAATTAGTAAACTGGAAGATAAATCTGAGGAAATCTCCCCAATAAGTCACATAAAGAAACAAGAAAGTGGTCACAATTGAAGAAAGGTTAAAAAATTAGAAGTAAAGAATTAAAACATCTAGACTATGTATGATTTGAATCCTAGAGGATATCAACAAGGTGACAAACAATAAGTTCCTAATGCTCATCCCCCTACAGACACACACACACACACACACACACACACACACACACACACACCAAAACAATGAATTAAAAAAACTAAATTTCAACCAAAATAACTAAAGAAGAGCACCAAGAAAATAACAACCAAGAAAATAACAAAAGAGTAGCAAAAATCCTGTAGGGCACAAAAAGCAGGATGGCTACCACAGAGAAAGAAAGGAAATATTTTGCTCCCACCATCCCTTTCCCACGTTGGGACTAGTTCTATGCCAGGAGAGACTTTTTTCTGCAGGGGAAAGGTAAGCAAATGATGCCAGAAGCTCCCATCACCACCGTGGATGCATGTAGTATTTCTGCTAGAGACTCCCACAATCTTCACAGGCTCTGAGCTCAGCCGAGGAAGCTACCTGAAAACCACATATCTGTGCTACGCTGAAGAAGAAGCTGAGACTCTGACCTCATGACCTGAGTTGTTACTGTGTTGTCTCTTCTTGGCACTGGACCACTTCTAGAGTGTGTCCTACTCCAAAGGTGAATATCCATTGCACCCCTCCCTCTCTGAGACTTTCCTATCACTACACCATTCATAGCTGCTAGCCTGCCATGCCTGAGCCAAGCTGCTGCCTCCTACCCCTTGGGCCAAGCTGCCATGGAACTTCTCCATCCCCCTATCTCAGTCACTGGTGCACCCCACCCTTCCA